GAGTCTTTACATTAATCCATCTTAATATTTCATATAACTTCTCTTTCGATGTACCTTTCATAGTTCCTGAAACAGCTAACGCCGCTTGATACTGTAGACTTCCTAACTTAACGAGATTCGTTTCTGTGGTCAGTGATTAAATTTTTAAGCCATAATTTAAAACCGATAAAACACCTAAAGGATAGATGTACACAACAGAAGAAGTTTGTTTTCGATATAACAAGACACAATGCATGGTGGCGTGTCATTTCAACCACATAATCTGCGAAAATTTGATGTTTTAATGTTAAAATTAATGTTTTTTTTCTAGAGAAGCGTACCTCGAGAATCAGGGTGACAAGTTACGTTGTAGGACGCAAAGATGCCGTCGGGGTATTTCCGGGTTTGGGCCTCGTGGAGCTCCAGTGAGGTTTTCACGGAATATTACACTATATTCAACTGTACACATCAAAGACATCTTTTTTTGTTTTCTTTGATCTAATTTTTCTGGTTCCTCGTCGTTGTATACGTTATTTTGCGTTAAAGATCAAAATAAGGAAATGACAAGTTTGTATCGAAATGTTCATTTATTCTATGTTCGAAAGAAGGAATGCTCACTGCGAGTTTATTCTACCAAACTTCCCAGATTAAAAAGTTAACAAATTTGAAAATACTGCTCTCCAGTTTTTCTGGTAATTTGAAGTACACAAGTTGTGCTGTATGCCATGCTATTTTTTGGGAAAATGTCTCTTTTAGTTTTTAAGATATAGAGATCTCAATATTATAGCCCAAAGTTAGTAAAATGTATGGATTCATTTTTTAAAATTATTTTAATTTTAGAAACTGCACGAACTTAGAATGATCAACATAACTTTCTCGACCACTTTTCGGAACATCGTAGTCAGAGAAGCCCAAGTTCTACAATTTACTTTTTGCAGTGAAATCGCTAAAATTAAATTGAAACGGATCCATTTTACTAATTTTTATCTTTGATATTGACAGCTCCATTTCTTAAAACTAAAAGAAACCTTTTTTCTGAAAAGTAAATCAAGGTTCCGACGTATAAGTCTGTTAAAGTTTCATTCATTCAAACGGGACCTAAAAGTGATGACGTATAATAGGCTGATCTATTTGAGAAAATTAGTGTAAGAAGTGGAAAGGAGTCCTCTCTAATTATTTCAGTTTTAATTAGCGAAGTGAGTAGAATACAGAATTAATGTAGAGCTGGGACGCATTCCATAATTCAGTCTTTTCCTTACTTTAAAGAGAAAACCTCTACAAAACCCGATCCAAGCTACATTTCAGAAATCTATGATTCGGGTGCTACGGGCATTTTTCATTAAGCCTTAGGACTCTGCTACCGTTAAGTTTGGAACCGCTAGAAATGAATGAATACATGGGTTACCGACTATGCTGAACCTTATGGCAGCATTTCTTTTTCAAAACAGTTTCAAAAGCCTAATGAAAACGTACATTAGGTGGAATATCTTAATGATGAGTGCATCTTGATATTTTGACATAACTTGGATTGATCTTGACTGAGTTATGAATTTTTGAATTTTACTCAAAAATAGGCAAAAGTGGGATATTCCACCTAATGTACGTTTTCACTAGGTTTCTGAAACTATTTTGAAGAAAAAACGGTGCCACAAGGTTCAGCATAGTCGGTAACCTATGTATTCATTCATTTCTAACAGTCCCAAACCTAACGGCAATGGAGTTCTAAGGGTTAAAGAAAATGCCAGTAACACCCGAACCACGGTATTTTGAGATGTCGCTTGAATCTGGTTTTGTAGAGGACAGCATGGACTATCGATATATGAAAAAAACTGGCATATTACTATGTACTATTTATTTTTTGAATCAGTTCCTGGGACTAGCCCAAGGCGTGTGTAACTGACTGAATCACACGTCTTCGAACAGCAGTGAGTTTCGATAACTCACACTGTTCAGTGCGAAAACTTGGAGAAAAAAAATCATGTTCTACGGTATCGTATTTATACTAAAAACGCCGAGAAATACATCGGTGAAATTATTCACCGTACAGAGCAGCAAAAGGGAAAGAAAAGAAAAGAGAGAAAGGATAGAGCTATATGTGGATATATTCACTTCCGACCATTAGATTCGAACGGTTTGGTCATAGGATCCGATTGGATCCTATCGTAGTTCCAGCCATTGGAATATAATGGAAGGAACAGAAATTGTACGGAGTCCGCTCAACGAATCTGGTCAGACGTCAGACAGTCGGAAATAGTTCGAATGAAGCGGATCTTTCAGGATCCGATCGGACGTTTTCCACCTAGGTGTATGGTCCGCAAACGAAAGAAATGGCGCAAGGAATTGAAAATTCAGAATTTATCATTAGCCAAAGTACAATAAGAATGTGCTTAAGAAAGTAAGAAGGATTAGTGCAGCTACTATACCTTGTGCACATAGCTATATGTGCACATAGTTACACAGTGAGAAATGATTGTGAAATTCAAAGACATTCCTTTAACACTAAAACGCTCGGAAATTTTCATGACCTGGAACCAAAGCGGTTATTTTGACCGATTTGGTTTTTCTTTTAAATTTTATACTTAAAAATGGTTCTGAATTCAAAAATGAATTAAAAATTCTGCAAAAAATAATTTTTGTGGGACAAATTAAAAGTTATGACATAATTTATTTTTAAATAAATTGTATGCAGTTTGTTTTATTAAGGATAAAAATCACAAACGATTAAAATGACCGCTACGGACGTTCTAGTGTTAAAAGTAAGTAGTCAATCCAGAGTAGAAATTAATTTGTTTGTTCCCTTTTACTTGACGACTATGAAACTGCTCCAGAGTTGTATGAAAAAACAATTGGTGTTCATCCAGATGATCTTCTCTAGTAAAATTGTAGTTTTGTTTCTTTGAAACGTTTAAAAAAGTATTAGAACATGATTTAAAATATAAACCAAGGCTTTTATACATTGCCACGCTTCGGTTCAAATCATATGACAAAACTATACGCTAGAATTAAAGAATTACATATATCTGTATAAGCGCGTTCTGTTATGTTGATCTTTACTGTGTATCTATGCGTGATAGGCTTGTCCAAATGATAAAGATGCATTAGTCAAACTTATTCTATATATTCTAGTTAGTCACGATGCTTTTTCGTACAGTTAAGCTCATTTTGTGCAAGATCTAGAAACAAAGAAGCACTTCTGATATAACGGCCCCCTCTTAGAACTTCACTCAGCCAAATCATCTATGAAGATCCCAACAAAATAGTTACTCAATATTTAGTTTCAAAAGGCTATTGAGTTCACAAAACAAATGTTATACACATCGTTTACCTCATGAGTCAATTTTTTGCACTCAATATAAGTAAGTGTATAATCTACAATGGTTTTTTCTCTTGGATTCTTGTTCTATTTACTTAGTTTACTAATTGGTTCTTTTCTTGTTCTTTTTTCGTTAAAATAAAGCTTATAACAAGATACAATCGTGCTACACGTTTTATTCATACAACCATTTTCTAATATGTATACTTAAATGTACTTCAAGTCAGGCTATGAGTAACGATTGCATATGCATTCAACCATTACCGTTAAATAGACGATCATATTTTAGCTGAAAGATTCACTCTTTACCTGCGAAATCGGACGTAAATTACTCAGTATTTATTTGATATGGACACTATTAAATCTGCTGCTAATAAGGTGAAAGAAGAAGTTTGTGAGAAAATTGGCGATGATCATTTGGAAAAAGCGCGAGATGAAAAACGCCCATCTCATAATCGTGCCGGACATATGCGGGAGGCAGCAGATTATCAATACAAAGCAGAAGCCGCTGGTGCAAAATCTAACCAACAGGAATCACGTCATGATTCGAAGGCCTGACGCCATTAGGTCAAATTAAAACTATGACAACAGAAAAGTCAAAAACATTCATCAAAATAGTTAATCTTAATTTACGATCGTAACAATCGTCATTCCATCGTCTACTCAAGCTGTCATTTATTATTAAATTTGTTTTCTCATTTCCCATAAAAGCGTAAATTAGAGTGATGATGCTCATTGTCAATGTTCAAGATGGCGTTCACGGATAATCATTTGTAGCAGCCATTATTGATTTTAATGGGATCATATTCTTTTGATAGTAATCTAATACCATATTCCTGTTAGAATACGGTTATTTCAGTGTTCTTTCACTAGAACTATCGATCTTCATTCTAATTCAGTGTTCACCGCAAATTAAAGACCAATATACGAAAAGATGAGACACAGACAACTGTCTCAGTCCAGAACATGAGGTTCGAGGGGCAACTGCCCCCCC